GTGATATATCCAAAATAAACATGTTTAAGTGAAACAAAGTCCATCTGTGTAAATCTAATATATTTATGAGTTTGCTGAATTTTTGTAACCACTTTTTATCATGTGTCCCCCTGTTTGACACCCCAAGTGATTTTAAAATACCCTGGAAATGTTACAATAAAATGTATGCACTTATCCAATCAACGGATTCCCAAAATTGTATTTCGTTTAGGCGGCAAATATTTAATTTCAGAGATGTTATTGTCTTTTGTAAAGTTAACTTACTAGTTTAGAGCAATGGCAACAAATGCTGATTGGAACTCAAAACTTTTCCATGCACAGCAATACATTTTGCTGCATTCCACATTTACCCATGGAGATGGGTCTCAAGTTTTGTATGTATCCGACATCTTTCCCTTCTTTTGGAATCAAAAAAATAACCAGTCTTTGTGCAGTTGCCATATAAAGCTTGAACTACGTAAAAATGCACCAGTGGCACAAGGTAATAAATACTAAGGCGGTAGTTTCAGCAGTACCACGTAAATGTCATTAACAGTAACCATACCCCCCCCCCCCCCTCCCATCACAAAGATTTGGATCATGCGTAACCAATAACACATGCAAATTTTTAATTTGGAGATAACAGTCCTATCTATATATCAATCTTTGTTGAAACGCTGTTTTAGCGTGATTAGATTTCTTCAAGAGTTCTTTCCCATTGACTAGTGTTTTGTTTGGGTATTAACACTAACATGTCAAAAAATGTTCTCATTTCATACCAAGTGTCTTTTCAGTGTTTTTTAAAAAAAACAATTGTTGCAGCTCTTGCGCCATATTTGAGCAGGTCCTACAGTAAAGTATGATTATGATGTATGTCACTGTATTAATTGATCTGGGATATGAACTGACGATGAAATCTTCAGTTGGACTTTATATCTGAGGGCAGCACATATCCATAAGCATACACTCAAAAATACAGATACATACAAAAACTTGCAAATTTTATTACAAGAACATTACAGTGGACAAAAGTACATGAAGCTTCAAAAGTCTTCTTAAATATTATGTTCATAACGTTCTCTGAAAACAAGTGCTTCTTAAAAAAAAAAAAAGTATTTTGCAAACACAAATTTTACAGTTTGGAGCTGACAAATTTGCAGTTTTTTAATTGTTTTAGGGAGCACTAGTTTGCGACGTCTAGAAACGTTGATTCGTCATCACTGTAGCAGACCGACTGGTCACATGATTACAAACACTGCAGCATTTTTGCATATTTAGTAAGACAATATTGATAGCATAACATCAATATATTTTGAGAGGAAAAGTCGTAATTGTAAATGTTGCAGACCACGCATGCTGGCAACATGGACACAAGACAATAGGTTTTCAACACTTATATCTAACAAGTTCAGTAACCAGCTGCATCACCAGGAGTTCGAATATCATCTATCTTCAGAATCATTCGTACAAGTTGAGTTGCTAAACTAATCTGTTGTTTCTTGGCTAGAAGTGTCTCTATCACATGTTGCTCTTTCATATCTGTTGATAAAAAAAAAAAAACTCTTATTTTAGATATAGCCCTATGAGACATTGGGGGGGGGGGGGGTTGTAAGTTCATCCCTTTCAAACGATAGTTTTACACATTTTCATGCTTGTATTTTTCAACAATTGTTTTTTAGGTTTTAAACAAAATCTATTACCTGAAGCAAATAAAAAACAGTTTCCAGGAATATCTGTGGGGGTATTTTTTGAACAGGTTACAATTATGGGGTGCCAAAGGGCTGATGTGCTGTACTCAATAACTTATAATTTTCATCACAATTATTAGACAAATATATAAAAATTGTAATCCCATAGTATTTCTGGAAGCATCGTTCGAATCGCAGGGTCCCGTGTCTTCGTCCTATAGGCCTCTACACGATACCGTGCGGGATCGCATAGGCTAATTGCGTATCTTGAGCAGCGAGATCTGATTGGGCGCGCCTCAAAACAAGGCGCCCAATCAGCTTGGACATACCAAATTATAAAACAAAATTCCCCTTCCTGTTTTTGTCACTATGAAGACATCCTTCCCACACAAAACTGCGTCGATTGCCTGTACCTGATGAGGCTTGAGGACACCAACACCGAAAACTTTCGCAATTTTATCATCACAAATACTACAATTCATGGGCGCCGCCATTTTGTTTAAAATGAAACACCAAAGAGGGATTTGTAACGCGCAAACTGATTGGACAATGATTAGCCGCAACTGACTACTGGGGGCGCTGTTAGAATACGCATATTTGATGGTCGTTCTGCCAAGATCTGTTTTAGAGGCTTGGACGAATAAACTTAGACCTTGGCTAACGAAGATGTTCTGGAAGTGAATGCACTGGTTCCTTGTTCACTAGAATATTATTTTTAACTGATTTGTACTCGCCGTTAGTGCCCTTGCTCATACAATCAATTCCAAGCCTAGGATTGTTTTCCTTCAACTGTCTAGATTTCACATCGGCTAGAGTTTTGATTGGGTGTAAACCGCTGTTTTCGGCAAGCGACATTGGTACGCTCTCTAATGCATCAGAAAATGCTCTCATTGCATACTGCTCAATCGTAGAAATCTACAAGAGAAAATAAAACTGAAGTGAGCAGCAAGTAAAAATCACAAGTACAAATATTACCAGCAAGAAGCAAAGATATTATTTTACATAGGTTGCATCTTAATTTTTGTTCTACAAACACAACCTTCAATTCGAGATGCACTTTAAATAGAACAAATATTATTTCTGACCAAAGTGAATATTCACTGAAAATAGTAAGTTATGACGTTGTGAAAAATTATTTCTGTATCAAAATTATCAACTTTACCTTATCTGCTTCTTCACTGACAGCAAGGGCACAAGCTATTTCAGCTGCTCCTCCACCATATACAATACGGTTATCACGAACTAAATTACGAATTACGCAAAGAGCATCGTGTAAACTGCGCTTAGCTTCTTCAATTATCTGCAAAGAAGTACAAATAATTTAGCTATGAAAACAGTTATCAAGTTCAGTTGACAATATATTATTGTCCACTTCCCACTGAAGTGCTATTTTTCAGGGGAAAATTACTTATTTTCATACAGACTTATTCAGATTCATCCAAAATACTTTTTTCCACCTATCATAGATTTGAGTTCAACCATAAACTATTAAGAATTTTTTTGTTTTTGTTTGTGCTTGATGGCATTACTGCCCAAAATGATGCACAATACCCTGCGTAATAGCAGTTGAGAAATTATTTGAAAACCATACCCCATGTATTATTTAGATTTTGTTAACTAATTTGTTTGTCAAAATCGAACAGACTCTTAAATAATTAATTACATGATGCAATACTCAAGTCATTCGGAATACTATTGCTTGCGAATTTTAGACCAATTTTAGACTGTTCCATTACGAATTTTAAGTAATACAATACAAAAGATTTCACTAGTTTCTTACCATCTTATTTCCTCCTCTGATGAATATAGTAACAGCTCTTGAGTTCTGGCAATCTTCTATCACCAACATCTTGTCTTTCGTTGTACCAAATGACAATTCTCTAACGATGCCCGCCTTGCCAAGTTTTTCAGTTGACAACTCTTCAAATCTGGGAACAATACGTCCACCAGTGGCAATTGCTATTAACTGTAATCAATAGACAATTCTAATGAACAAACTAAGGCGATTACGACAATTGAAATTTGACCCAAAATAACAAGATGTAATAAATTTCTGGTTGGCCAACTAATGGTAAATATACTGACCTCAATTTCCGGTCCACCAACCCATCGTACGGCAGGTAGTTTTCTTTGTAATAATAAATGATTAGCTTCGTCATCAAATCCCCATTGACATATTGCCAAATTTGCTCCAGCATCTAAAACTTGTGACACCATCTGATCAAACTTCTTAGTTTCGTATTCCCGTAACTTGTTGTAGTCCTCGACCGATGAGACGTCTAACTTGTGTTTAGTTTTCGGTTTAGGTGGTTCAAAGGGACACGTTAGGATAGCAATCTTAGCATCTTTAATTGTCTGGAAGAAATTTGGAGAAAACGTTATACAAATGCACATGGAAATCAGGTCAGGCACACACACACACTATTAAATTTTGTCCTACCATTTTCCAGCATTAGTAGTGCTTTTAATAAAGCAAATTTGATATAATAAAGTGCATATAAACCCAAAATCAAATTTGTTGTATACTGAATAATCATAATATTATTTATTTTGACCATAGAAGCAAGTCTGTAATTTATGTAAGCATATATCTAATAAAACAGCAAATAGGCAGATTATCATTTTCCATTGTTGAAATTTAAAGCACAATTGTACTGCTAAGAATAAAAGGCCTCAAAAAACACTAGAACTTACAAGAAATATTAGTCAATAGTTTGTTGTATGCTGCAAACTAAAATATTACTAATTTACGTACGTGTATACGCTACTAATAGAGCAAATATGTTGGCCCAACTGATTACCAAATATTAACAAAACATGACTACTTTATATTATGGAGTCTTACACAAATTGTGCAGAATGACATGCATTTATTTTTATCCACACTTTCTCCAAGTACCCACTAAACCAGATGGACTACCAAATATTACACATCTCTGGTAGCCCAGCAGATCCCTGCATGTGATTTAACCACAAATTTGGTTTTATGATTGCCAATATGATATTAGAGGATTTCTCAACTCATTTGAAGTACCGTAGGTTGACAATACTAATACTAGGAAATACAGACAAGCATTTCAACATACCTTAGGCATTTGTGGATGACTGAAATCTTTATCTACCACAACACCTCTTACTAAGACAGTATCTTCTAATTTACCTCCCACTTTACCATCAACTTTAATAAGTTCAAAGTCTACATCTTTACGTTCTAAATCAGCGACAGAGAGAATTGCATCCACTGCTATTTCTGCCATGGAACGATGACACCGATTTATACTGCAATATACATTCAAATATAAAGTAATTAGTAATCTAAGCATTAGCATGTGTATAAACATTTCTAGTAGCTTTCAAAAATAACTGATTTAGTTGTGAATACACCCAATAACTGGGTAGGTATCCATTTCCATATAAAGACAATTCATCACCGTAATACTTTTGTGGCATCATACAGACAGGTGTTTAGCGTTTTGTCAGGTACCTGGTACTTGTAACTCAGAGACGCAAACACCTGCATGAAAATTGCAGCTATGCCATGGTAATCTGTACTTATTTCAACAAGGATGTAGATACTGCTTGCTCAACTAGAACTGGTGCATGCCTGGCTGAATGGGCAGTTATCGCACAATCAATAGAACAGTACACGGCATCCAGGTGGCAAGGCTGACAAAACTCAGGAAAATGTCACCTTTTCATGTTTTTCCAGCAACTTGATAAATGTATTATTCAAAATCGACTCAGATTCCACAAATGATTCCTTATCAACTTACATTTTGGACCCCAATGAAGTCATAGCAGTTAGTATAAGGGGTTCTTTGTTGTTTAAATCTACAGGAAAGCTATCACCAATCTCGTCCAATTTCTTGAGAGCTATACGTGATGCTAAATCGTAACCATCGGCAATACGAATGGGATGTATACCACGGTCTATAAGCTGTCCGGCTTGTTCTAGCAGGGCACCTGCGATGACTAAATATGTGATAAGAAAACATTATTCACTGCAGGCTTTATTCACACAGAAAAAAAGAAAGTTGTATCTTAAAGTGATGTGGCAATGAAATATTTGGTTTTTCATTGGCTGATTCAGGCCAATCAGTTTAAAATTATCTGTTTTTATTTACCGACTTTTCATAGTATACATATTTTCATTGCTCTGGGCAACATATATACACACTTAGAAAAAAACTAAGCCAGCTCAGAGATAACTCTTTGCCTTGCATTAGTTTGATTTGTGTAAAAAATTTATTTTATTAACAAATGCAATGAGGTGCCACAACTTTATTTGAATGCCCTGATGAAAACCTCCAAGGATATCCAATATGGATGGTATAAAAACAGCCCAGTAGGCTATGTGTTGAGTTGAACATAACAGAATGTACTTTACCAACAACTCCTGTAGTACCATCACCAATTTCATCATCTTGGGACTTTGACAACTGTACCATTAACTTTGCAATTTGATGATCAACATCCATCTGACTCAATATTGTAGCACCATCATTCGTCACTGTTACTTCGCCATCAGGACTCACCATCATTTTATCCAAACCTGTCACAAAGTTAATTTCCTGTTAGTTAATCTCACTTCTGATATTTGATCACATTCACAGAGATTTAATTTCACAGATGGGCAGTTAGTTCTCCCCTGAAACAATACTACATGAACACTATGGGAGAAAACAATAACAGTAACATTTCTTGATAATCTAGTGACAGAACGCAATAGATGAATACAAGATGAGATACAAAGTGGATTACCGAATAAATGTTTCCACCACTCACCATTGGGTCCCAGGGAACTCTTAAGAATACCAGCCACTGCTTTAGCTGCCAAGATGTGAGACTACAGTCAAAATACGAAAACAAAAATTAGATCTCCATACAATTAAGCAGAGCCTCTTTTTAAACTTGTAATGAACTTTTGAGAGACAGTGCACGTGTTTTTGAGACAAAAATTAACATTTTATTTATTTAGAAATAGGTGCTTACTAGTCTTGACATAGAATGATTTTTTGCATGACAATGTGCAGTATTTTAGAATTATACAGTATTGGGACAGGGATAAGGTTAGTTTGTATAGGTAGAAGTTAGGAGTCACTGTGGTGTTATGGTTTTTGTTCGGCATGGATAATGATCTGAGACACTATTGTTTCAGTCATTCTTTGAACGATTATGTTTAACTAAATATTGCTACACTACAGCAAGTTATTATCAACATTGTCGGAAAATGTACAGCAATTGCTTCCAATGTT